TGTGTGTAACGGGTGGGGCGTGGTTAAATGTTTGCCCAGTCCCAGCCATCTGTGTGTGTGTGTGTGTGTCTAAGTAACGGGTGGGGCATGGTTAAATGTTTGCCCAGTCTGGCTTGGCTGTGATACACATCCAAATGGCCCCTGGCAGAAAAAAGGGCATCCAGCCCTGCTCAAGTGGGTTTTGGAGCCTATAAATCCTTCTATGCAGCAGACAGTCCCACCCCGGCCACCTCCACTTTCTCCCGGGGAGGCAAAGGCGGGTCCCACGGGCGGCGCGCTGGCGCCACCTGGTGCCAGCTGCTGGGCATTCAGAGGCCTGACCCACTCGGCTTTGGGGTTGGGGCTCTGCAGTCGTTCAGTTCTCCTGGGGGAGAAAGGGAATGAGCAATGCACACAGCGGGGTGGGCCCATGGCCAGCGGGCACTGGAAGCGGACTCCAGGGTGTGGCACCCACTTCCCAGCCCTGGAACCCCCGTGGGGAACCAAAGTGCTGCAGGTTAAGCCCTCCATCCAGGCTGCTGCTGTTCTCGGTTCTCTCCCTTCCCCACCTCAGGGCTGGCCTGGTCACTCCCTCCCTCCCTCAGAGCTGAGGGCATGTGTGGGCTCAAACGTGGAGGTCTCTCCCTTGCCTTCTGGGACAAAGAACCTTCACCCTCAGCCACCAAACCTGCCCTCAACCTGCCCTTTGAGGACTTCTCTAAGGCTGCCTCTGAACTCACCTGACCCTGCCTGTCCACACAGCTCTGGGACCTCACAGGCTGACACTGGCAGAGCCTCAGGCCTTCTGTACCAGCACCCTTGGTACAATTTTTAGAGGACCCAGGTCCTAGAAGCTGCTGCTAGGGCCCCGCACCCTCAGAACACCCTGTCTGCATACCACCAGGGCCAGTTTGGTGTTTCCCACCCACTCAGATCCGATAAAGACATGCAGGTACCAGGCTGGGCGTTTGGGCTGAAATGGAACTCCAAGTGTGAAGGCAAAGGCCCTGGAATCCTTAAATGTGTTTCCTGAACAGTCAAGGGTGTGCTTTCTGCTCCAAAACGTGGTCTGCTGCTTCGATGTAAAGGCCGGCCCCACCCCCAGCTACACACCCTGCGCACTGTCCCGCCACCCCAGAGGCTCTGGGAGGGGGGACACCAGCAGAAGTGGCTGTGAAAGCAGAGAGGCCGGCTGAGCGACTCACAGGAGCTGCTGCTGGGCAGGTCCTGGGTCCCCAGTGTCTGCCAGCTTGCTGCCTGGGGTGGGTAAGATGGGCCCTCCCAGAGATTTGGCTTGATCCCCACTTGACCCCAGGAGAGAGATGGGTGTCGCTCAGGGGGGGGGGGGGGGGGGGGGGGGGGGGGAGCGCGGAATATACTTCGACTCCAAGGAAGGTGCTTGTTCAGAGGGACGTGCTACTAGCCCCAGACTTGACTATCTGAAACATCCCTCTGGCTGAATGGAAGTTGCCGGTCCCTTATGTGAATGCTAGGGAAATACACAGTGGTCTCGTAAAACTCCTTAGGGGCCAGAACAGGTTCAAATACAATTGTTATCAGGTGCCATGAAGTCGGTTCCAACTCGAAGGCCATGGCTGGCCTTTCTGCCGCGAAACGTTTGGGCACTGAGGCATTTCTAAAGATGGCCTGCAGGTGGCAGCGTGTGGTAAGGCTCAGAAAGGTGGAGCCAGCCTAGGGAGGCTCACACCTCCCTTCTCTGCCTTTGTGGGCAAAAGCACACAGGGAGAGGTGCCCATAAGGCATCAGCACAAACCCTCTCCCCCATTCCGTAAACCTGGGTCCCAGCTTGCTTCTCCACCATCGCCTGGCTATGTGACCTCACACCGTCCCCTGCAGTCTCTGTGCACCAGACTGGACAGGACAGATCCTAGGGCACTGGCCGCTGAAGGGCCGACTCAGGGCTGCTCGCCCTACGCCCTTGCCCAGCTGGCAAAGAGGGGCCCGAGTGGGGAGTGGTTAGTGGAGCCATGCAGGGACTCACCTGGGAAGATAAACTGCTGTCTGTGGTGAATGAAGCAGGCAGCTTGAAACAGAAGAGGTGAGTCACACAAGCAGAAAAGCAATTGCAAGGGGGGTGGGGGTGGGGATGTGAGGGCCGGCCTGGGTTCCCCATTTGGGAGAAGAGGCCGGGGCAGCCCCACCTGGGTCTGGGGAGGACAGGGCATCCATACAGGAAGAGCTGAAGAAAATAACATTGGCAGGAGCCTCCCCTCTGGGAGCCAAGGGGCGGCTGACCCTGGGGAATGAGGCCCAGGGCACCTCCCAGGCCCACCTGTCCTCAGTGAACACTTCCACCCCCACCCCACCAAAAAAAACTAACAACAACAACATTGCCATGAATTCGATCTTGACCCTGCATACTATACAGAGTAGAGGATTCCTGAGGCTATAAATCTTAATGGGAGCAGGAAGCCTCGTCTTCCTCCCTCAGAATAGCTAGCGGGTTTGAACTGCTGACCTTGTGGTTAACAGCCCAATGAGTAACCCACTATAATACCATCAGGGCCAAAAGACCAAACTAAACTCACTGCCATCAGGTCGATGCCAGCACCCTATAGGACAGAGTAGAACTGTCCCTGTGGGTTTCCGACACTAACTCCTGATGGGAGCAGAAAGCCCAGTCCTCCCAGGGAGCTGCTGGTGGTTTTGAACTGCTGACGTTATGGTTAGTAACCCAATAGGTTACCACGACTCCACTAAGGAAGGTGAAATTATAATGGCTTGGGTGGGATGGGGGGAAATTGTGAAAAAGTCCTCTCTGTACCCACCCAGAGGAGCTGAGACTTTAGCAGCCCAACCACTGCGCCCCATAAAAGCATTGTCGTCCACCCCCCCACCCCCACCCCCCAAGGGTGTGGAGGGCTGTCGAACTGGGTCCAGCTCCAGCAGGCCCGGGTCTGCAGCCCTGGAAGGACAGCTCGCCTCTCCCAGCCTCAGGCGCCTCACCATGGCTTTACAGACTGCAGCGTGCCCCGCCAGTGGACAGGGCCATACAGACAATATAAACTTCTTCAAAAGATCCCCCAGCTCAGCCTGTTTGGCTAGAGAGAGGGGACTCTGCAGGGACAAGGAGTGCCCAGCCAGGACACAGCTGGGAAAGCCAAGGTCGCCCGACTGACACACAGCAAGGAAGACTCTTCCTGGTTTGTGAAGCAGGCCCTTTCTTTTAGCAAACCCAAACAGGGAGGCGGTTAGGGAAAGCATGAACTAGGGAGGAGATTAGGCCAATGCCCATGAGGCGGGACGGAGCGCAGGAGTGTGTTAAGGTCTGTCTGAGGTGGCCAGCCAAGTGCACGTGAAGGGGAAGAGAACGCAGGCGCTAGGATAGTTATCCTGCTTGCTCACCATGCCCTGGCACCCTGGTGAGGTGAACCCAGAAATGGTGCCAGCTAGAGCAGGTGGGCTCGGTTTGGGCCTCTGTACAGGGACGGCTAGCTGCACATGTCCTCCCGGGCCTGGACACTGCCCGCCCCACCGCTGCATTATAGGTGGGGGCAGGGGCAGGTCGGGCTTCAGGCCCTGCTCCAGCCTCACTGCCTCTTGGGGGCTCAGCCTCCCTCCCTGAGCGAGGGGGTCGTACCTGGGGGAAGCTACAATCCACACTGGGATTAGTCCAGACCCCTGGCTTGATGCCAGGCAGATCTGGGTATGAGCCTGATTCTGCCGCTTACTGGCTGCCCGGTTCTGAGCAAGCTGCTTCCTCTCTCTAGGCCTCAGTGTCCCCAGCTGTAAAAGGGGCACAACAGCTGGGCACAGGGCCTAGCTCTGGGCAAATGGTCCTCTTGGGTATGTTGAGAAGGGCAGCAGCTGACCAAGTCCCCGAGGGCCCAGAAGAGCCCCCAAGGTGCCGTACCTGGAAAGTTGAACCTGCTGTCCCTCAGGCTGGGCGAGGGGTTGGGGGGCGTGGTGGCGCTGGAGGGGTTGGAGGACGTTGGGAAGAGCGCCGGCGAGGAGGGCGTGGAGGAGGTGGTGGAGGACGGGTTGCTGCTGGAGTCCAGGTGGTTCATGGCGGCAGGGTGCTCCTGCAGACCAGAGATGGCCAGGCGTGGGCAGGAGCCCTCGCTGCCCTGCCCCGCTGCCCCCGCCCAGCCCACGTCCCCGTCTGCAGGTGAAGAGCTCAGGTCAAGACATCCTAGGGTCATGGCCTTCAGCGGCAACCTCCTTTGAGAGGCGTCTTGAATGGTGCAAAAGGTTCAGGCACTTGGCTACGGCCTCAAAGGTCGGAGGTTGGGGTCCACCCAGAGGTGCCTCGGCAGAAGGCCCTGGTGATCGATCTATTTCCAGAGAGCCAACCGCTGAAGCTCTACGGACAGGGAGCACTCAGTACGCGCGCGCGGGGCTGCCACGAGGTAGTGTGGACAGAAGAGCAACTTGTTTCCCTTCTATCAGAGGGAGCAGTGGCCCCCAGAGACCTCAACCTCCTCACCCCTCCTGCTCACCATTCCTGTCTCAGTTCACCCTGGGTTCAAATGCCCTGCCTCTTAAAAGCTGGGACCTGCCTGAGGTAGTTAGTTTATTGTGCCAACCTGGCCGATAAACACATGTGGGACTAATTGAAGGCAGAGGGATAAATGGCTTGGTGAGCCTCGCCTTTCTAGTTCTCGGGTCTCTTGCTTTCTGATGGTTGAACCAGGGTGAAGCTGCCTTAGCCAGTTCCCTGCTTTAGCTGGCAAGGCTGACTTCCTGCAAGACATCCCCAAGGAGAAGCCACATGGACCTACCCCGATGCAGCCCTGGGTGTTGGAGCAGCCGTGTGGAGACCCCTGCCAGCGCTGAGATGCTTACATGTTCACTGACTCGGCTTTCCACCTGCAGTCGGCATCATAATGTGTGTTTTGTGAAATGGAGGAGGACTTTGTGGATTGGTGTTGGACATATGGGTTAATGTTGGACTTGTGGGCTTGGGCAGCACGGGGTTGGGATGTTTTCTTGATGTGCACTTAACCTTTACATAAAACTCTCTTATACATGAGTTTCTGTGGATTTGTTTCTCTAATGTACCCAGAGTAACACGCTGCATATCCTCTGTATCCTCCCACAGCTCCCAGCGCTTGTAGGCCAAAACCTGTCCTTTGAGTACAGCATGTAGACAGCAGACAGGCTCATCCCTGGAGCTGGGGGGCTTTCTGATTCCTGCCTCTCCTGTTGTATCGCAAGGGTGGGGACCCTCATGCCCATGACTGTCCCGTGCCTGACTCTGAGCGGACCGCCTGAGTGGGGAGGTGGTCTAGGCCGTTGTCCACCTCAGTGTCCCACGAGCAGGGGGCACTACGAGTCCACTTTCAACTGTGAGGCTAGAAGAGCAAAGAGCATGGGCCTGCACTGACACCCTGCCATGTCCCCACCTTCTGCCTTCTGCCGGGGGACAGGGGTGCACACATCATGGGAGGGAGCCGTGACAGCAGTGGCAGAAGACACGAGGGCCCATGGAGATGGGAAGTCCTGCTGCCTGGCTGCCTCTCTTGCTTAAGAAGAGGCTGGTCCTGGGTTCCCCATAGAAGTCTCCATGGTTGCATCCCCAGGGCCCAGCCTGGCATCACCTGGCCCCATGGCCGGCCTGCCTGCCAGTCTGTCTTCTCTCTACCAGGGCTGCCAGCCAAGGAGCATAGGTGACGGGGGTCCCCAGTGAGAAGGCAGCCACGTAGAAGGGGGTGGCCCTGGCTGTGTGGGCACCAGAACGGAGATTGCTGTCAGGGGCCACTGCCTGGGAGCCTTGTGGACACAGCGCACGCTGAGCTGGTGCCCGGGCCCAAAATGGGGCAGGTCTGAAGACACTCATGGGCCTTTGAGAAATGTTGGCTGCCAAGGCACCCATCTGCAGAAGCAGAGAAGACCAGCCCGGAGACCCCTACGTAGGGGTGCACCCCTGTACTGGCTGCCCGGTGCTGCCCAGGGGGACTGTCTAACTGAACAGTGTAGACGTGATGGAGTTCTGGCTCATGAGCCAGTCACCTTGGGTTTACCTATCGCTCTTGGGGGGCTCTGTGCTCAGTCTCCTCACCTGGAAAATGGAGCTCCTTAGGATGACTGTGAGGGCCAAACAGAATGTCACCCAGGAAAGTACGTGGCGCAGACTCAACACTCTGGACACGTTAGCTCGGGGGCGGGAGGAGGGGTGAGTAAGGGAGGCCGGCTGGAGGACAGGGGGCAGGGCCACATGGACACAAATGGGTCACTGGCAAAGGCTACAGCCTGCAGCTTCCATCAGAAGAGGGCCCGGCGGGGGCACACGGGCCCAGCCATACCTTCTTTGTGAGTGCTTTGGGGAGCGTGCCAAAGTGGGGCTCGGCTGCTCGGTCCACGGGGTTGTTGATGTCTGAAGGGACGGACTCTGTCCTCCGGAGGCGGGGTGCTGCTGACAAGGGGCAGGGGCGAGCATGAGCAGGGAAGTAGCAGGCCGGGGAGTCTGCAGCCGACCTCAGAGGCAGCGGGGAGGGCGGGCCGGAAACTCACGTGGCAGGAAGGATATCCGACAGGCCGGGGCTTCTTTCGTGCACTTGTTGTGACACTTCAACCTGGCAGGGGAGGCAGGGTCAGTCCCCGCAGGGTATCCAGGCGCACAGTGCGTCCAAGCTCACTCACAGCTGCGTCAGTGCCCACACCTCCCTCAGGCCACCTTAGAGCTCAAGTGGGCTGAGTTCCTGCCATTGCTGTGACAGAGGCTACCTCCCGGGGGTGTCCCCGCTTGTGTGCCATTAACGCCCCTCCGCCAAATGGTGCAGGCACCAGTATACCCACTTTGACCAGTCCCAGGCCGGGCCTCCCTTTCTCTAGGCTAAAGGGGGGCCCTCCGCCGGCACGCAGAAGGTTGGGGGCAAGGCTGCGCTGAAGACAGGGCGGAGTTTCAAAGGAGCTCGAGCAGGGGGCCGTGGGTCAGAGGGCTTGGTGCTGAGCCAGGGGATTAAGGGAGCTGAGTTTCTGTGGCTCAGAGCCTCGGCGTCCACATCCACCAAACGGGCGGACGGTCTGTGCCCATCACCCTCACGCCTGCTCAGACTCCCAGAGATGCCTCAACGGGCAGAGATGTCAAGAATCACCTGCCAGGTGGATAAGTGACAAGAGGGAGGGACAGGGCGTGCACCTTGCCCCTGGGCGCACCACCATCCAGGGCCGAGGGCTGGGAGGGGCGCCCTGGGTTCAGCCTGCAGAGGTTCATCCTGTCTCTGCTCCCCCGTGCCATTCCCTCTCCCTGCCCATAGTCCCTACTGGAAAGCACACAGGTGGAGGCAAGGACATTGAATTGTACAGATGCTCTTCTTCCCTTCTTGAAACTCGGTGTGCCGACTCTCCGATGCGCTGCCTTGGCGCATCCCCGCTCCCCACCCTTGGGCCTGCGAAGAGGCATGCCCTCCATGAGACAGACTGCCCCGGTGGCTGTACTGTGGGCTCAAACAAAAGAACACTTGTGAGGCTAACACAGGACCCGGAAGTGTTTCGTTCCGTCGGATGCAGGGGTCGCTGTGGGCTAGAACCAACTTGACCGGCACCTGATGGCAACAGGCCTGAAACGCAAGCTGAATGTGAGGACTTCTTCAAAGTCCCAGGCAGACTGGACTTCTCTTCCCCCCTTTGCTTGGTCTGCCTGGAAAAGAAAACTTCTATTCCTCCGTCAAAGCCCGCCCTTAAACGCCCCTTCTTGTGGGAGGGCCTGGCTGGAGGCGTCCTTAATCTTCCCAGAGTGCCACGTGGGACCATCAACAGAGTGCCAGGGAATTCCTTTGAACTCAGACTTGACCCATAGCCAACAATGAGGTCACAGGACTGGCCCCGAGGCTCGAGGTGTCCCCTGCCATGGGCACTCCTCTCCTTGCCCCTGGCCCTCACCTGCAGTACTTGCACTTCACCCCGAACATCATGTTCTTCTGACACACGTGGCACACCTGGGACAGCCAGGACTTGGTGGAGAACCTGCAGGGAGTGGACACATGCCTGCTCACACTGGCTGCCAAAGCAGCCCCCACCCCAGGGAAATCAGGTGACGCGGTCCCACCCCAGAACCCTCTTGTAGAGAGGGCAGGGACACCCAGGGGCCACCGCCTCCTCCCAGGGATCCGGTTTTCCCAGCTACAAAGTCACCATTGTCAAAATCCCGCGGCTCATGTGCTCCCTGACACATGCTCTCTGGGTGGGTACTCCGGCCACCAAAATTTCAGGTGTGCACAGACCGGCTGACCTGGCAACTGCAGGCTTGGGATTGTATCCACGAGTCCAATCAAGTACAAGGTTACTCGATGCAGCATGGCTGTGACAGTGAAGGACTGGGCACAACCTTAATGTCCAGCAGTAGATAACTGGCGACATGAGGTACAGTCCCTCCACGCACCAGAACACAGTGCAGACAGAGTGAAACAAAGGCACGGTGATCTCCCAACGGCACGCTCACACTTGGGAACCAAGTGGGACTCACGGGAACCGGTGGACTCATGGCCCACCCCTACACCAGTCTCCACAACCCCAAGACCAGAGGACCTAGACGGTGCCCCACGACCTCGGTCAACCACCCTGAAAGGGATCACGTTAGAAGGCCCTAAATAAAGTGGGAGAAAAATGTGGAACAAAACGCAAAATTGTACAAAAGACCAGGTTTCCTAATGGGAGAGAGACTGGTCGAGCGCAAGACTCTGGCTCTCACTTTCCAGATCTGGAAACGAACTCACCCCGTGTCTCAATTGTCAACCAAGTAATATATCTACCAGGGGAACAATAACCTGATTGAGCGACACACCCCTTAGAACAATCCGCCACTTGAGTTCGAAAGGGCAGCATTTCCCTCTTAAGGGTTCAGAAAGGTGGACTGGAAACAGGAAACATAGGAAGGAAGGAAGTGATGTTACCTCCGGAGATCGCAACCAGTGACATGAAGCAAATGTGTATGAATCATCGAATGGAAAATCGATCTGTTCAATCAACCTTTATCTAATGCATCATAAAAGACTTTAAAATATATAGTGTATAAACAAAAAGAAATTTATACTATTAAGTGGAAAAAGTAAAATCCCACACCCCCAAAAAAACTAAACCTATTGCTACCTGGTCAATTCTGATTCAAACTAACCCAACAGGGCAGAGTCGAATGACCCTACAGAGCTCTGAGGCTGTAATCTTTTGCTTTCTCCATGCTTAAGGACAGATTTATAACGACCAAGAAGAGGTGGGGGTCCCCGACACTGAGCTTTCTAAGAGAGATGTTACCCTGCTGAGAGATATTCCTGTCAACCAAGGTCCTCTGAGCCTTGGGGTCTCCTGTGAGCGTCCGCATATGCCCATGACGCAGGCCACAGGCTGTCACCTTGACGGAAGCAGATGGCTGTCACATCACACCCCCACGGAGTGAGTAGCTGGTGGGTTCAGCGCACCGACCTTTCGCTTGGCAGGTAGGGCTTCAGCACCCACAGGAGTGTGTACATCTTGACAAGCTGACCGCTCGTGCATTTTGCTCCATGTAAATTTTGCAACCATTTAGAACAGCATATATAAATAAATAAATAAGCAAAGGATAGAAGAGTGTGCGTCATATAAGTAGTATTCATTTCTTCAAGGAGGAGGGGTAAGAATATACATAGGTCCTTGCTTGTATTAAGCATCTCTGAGAAGGACACACAAAGGAGTGGGGTGCTGGGGGATACATGTTAGACTGCTGACCACAAGGTTCGTAGCTCAAACCTACCAGCTGCTCCTTGGGAGAAAGAAAAGGCTATCTACCCCATAAAGGGAAGTGGGGGTGGACAGTGGGAGGACACAGGACACTGTGACCACCTGTTATAGGGGCTGGGGGCTGACAGAGACAGGAAACTTCCCTCTATGGGTTCCCTTTACACGGCTCTTCAATGTTAACCACGAGTGAAGTGTTAATCCAAACAAAATAAGAACAAAGAACTGACTAGAAATGATAGGGGCTTAGTTGGGGGGTGGGTCTCCCCCAGGAAAAAAGCTCAGGGTCCATTTACATGAGGTGGGCCCACCTCAGGGCAGAAGTTCACCTTTTGGGAGCAATGAACTGTTGGGGCAGAGTAGATCACACTGACAACAGACCGGGCCCTTGAACGTGAGCTCACTTGATTCTTACACACCCACCCCCGCCCCGCCCCGCCCTCACCCAGGAATGAGGCTGGCCCAAGGGTCAGTAAGGGAGCCCTGGTGGCAGAGTGGGCTACTCATTGGACTGCTAACACCAAGGTCAGCAGTTCGAAGGCACCATATAGGCTCTGAGGGCAAAAGCGGAGGCTTTGTACCCCCACCTAGACCGACAGCCTCAGACACCCACCCGGGCAGCTCTGCTCTGTCCTTGAGGGAGAGCCGCTGTGAGTTGGAATCGCTCCCCGTGGGATTCTGGGGGTTGATGTTGTTGGAGGGGGAGGGCAGTGTTCAGTAACAGGTGTGGAGAGCAGCTCGCCCGCACGGCTGGGACGCTGCACGCTGGCGGAATGCAGGGTTGCAATGGTCTTCAAGACAGACCCTGGCGCAACCAGGCCAGCGGGTCTGAGAGGCGGGAGAGTACACGGGCTTCGGGTCCGGAGGAGCTGCGTGACTCCTATCTCCCACTAGCTGCCTCTGAGCATCTGGGAATGGACCGGTGCGCTCAACCGCACAAGGATCTCATGGGGGTCAAATGGGTGCCAGGCCAATGTGCAGTGCGCCCGGGGCACAGAAGGGATTCATAACCTTCGCATGCATCCACTCTCTGGGACCCAACCACAGTGGGAACCGCTGGTGGCTTAGGCAAAGGGTGCCTGCCATCCAAAGTGCGGTGAACAGGGAGACCCAGGGGTGTGCAAACAGCACAGGCGTGCTCCCTCCCCTCCCACTCCCTCCTCCCTCCACCAGGGGAGAGGAGGCTGCTTAGAGTGAGAGAGAAGACTTCCAGTAGGAAATCCTGGACATGGGTCCACATGGGAGCCAGGTCTGGTCCTTGCAGGGGCAGGTGTGAGTGAGGAGGCGAGAACAAATCCTCCTTACCAGGAAGGGGCACCAGACAGCATCTTTCCTATGATTTCATCCATCCTGTCAGAACTTTAGCTGAGCAGGGGCCTGGGGCCTGGGCCTCAAAGCCCAAGAGGGCGTGACCATGACCCCATCTTCTCAAGCCCAGGGCCCGAGGCAGAGTCGCCGGGCAACCAGAGAGGAGCGAGGGCAGCCCTGCAGTTGGCCCTCACAGCCCGGAGGAAAGTCTCCAGGCCAGGTGTGGTAGTTACAAAATCTAGTGTCCATTCGGGACTTGAGAGGATTAAGAGTGAAAGGGTAGAGTCTGGTCTATCAAGGTATAACCAATGAGGCCTCTGTGTGGGCATGGCCTTCTCCTGAGAATTCTGGGAACTCCTGCATTTGCTCCTTAGAGGCATAAGACACTTCTCTCTCTCTCTGCTCACTCCCTGGGAGACACTGCAGCTGACAAGACATGGAACTACCTAGTGCCCGGAGCTGGAGAAGCCACACAGACCTACCCTGATGCAACCAGACTGCTGAAGCCAGAGAAGCCACAGAGAGACCCCTGCCAGTGCTGAGATGCCTACACCGCCACTGAATCCAAAGACTTTCTACCCACTGGCCTGTGATCATCTTGCATTTGGTGTCATTGCATGTGTTTCATGAGTCTGAAGAGGACTTTATCGATTGGGATCAGACATATGGGGTAATATCAGACTTATGAGCTTGGACTGGACTGGGTTGGGATGCTTTCTTAATGTATAATTACCCTTTATATGAAACTCTCTTATACACACGAGTGCCTATGGATTTATTTCTCTAGTCTACCCAGACTAACACACCAGGGGACACTCGGGAGAGGCTGGCCCAGCTGTAAGCCGCAGGAAACCAGGTGTGAGAAACCAACATGAAGCCAAGCCCCCGCCGGTCCTGAATCCCTCCGGTAACATCGGTCCTGGTGTGGTGAAGCTCAGGTTCGCCCTCCCGACAGCCCTCAGCAGGAGCTACGGTGAATCCCGCTAGTGAGGGGAGAAGGCCTGGACTTCCTCAGTTGTGCGGACCACGCTCAACTGCACCAAAGCCGTCATGGTGATGGTGGGGCCTCTGATCTCTACTTCCAGTGTCCTCCCGTCCTAGCTGTCCCCAGCACACAGGCAGCCCCAACATCACAGAGGCTGCAAACAGAGGGCCCCAGGCTCCAGCCACTTTGGGATCCAGCACTCAGCACCAGCTGTATGACCGAGGTGTCCCTGCCTGTCCAAACAGGGGGTGTCCTCTCGGGAGAGAAGTCTAGGAGGGCCTGCACACAGCAGCTCCCAGGGCTGATGGACACAGCCCTGACAAGTTCTCCTCACGGCATGGACAACTTCCAACAGGGCCAGCCTGAGTCCAGGCGTCCCAAGGCACCCACGACTGGCCACCCAGGGGAGTGAGAAGCCGCCCCCCAGAGCCGTTCCCAGACACACCAGCCTCCCAAGGGTGAGGCCAAGACCTATACACAGTCCAGGTCTTGGGCCCACATCAGCCCTCCGTGAACTTGTCTGAGCATCCGAATCACTGGAAGTTGGTAAAGACCCAGGTGACCAGAACCATGGAACAGGTGCTCTGGGCTGGGGTCTGGGGGTCTGTGGCTTCCTCGTGACTCTGCGATCCCACTCAGCCAGCCTAGCACCGGTGTCCCGGGCTCAGGGAGAAGGTTTCCCTGCAGTCAGTGACGCAGAGCCCTGCGGGTGGGGGAGGCGGCGCCCCAAGGGGTAGGGAAGCGCAGCACACGGCCACTGGTGGCAACGCAAGGGCTCGAGGTAGGTACCAGACAGTGTCCAGAGAGGAGATGGACAGACGAGGAAAAGTGACTCAGACTGACTGTCCAGCCCCGCCGCCGCCGCCAGCCCTACCTGTGCGTCACGGGGAGTCCGATGTCCCTTCGTACCATCTGTGGGGACCCGTGCGAGAGATCTGCAAGGAAACAGGCAGGCGGGGCAGGTGAGGGTGCCCTGCCCTGGGCGGCTTGTGCCTGTGGCCCTCAATGCCGGAGGTCACAGACTGGGTGTGATGAGGTTCCTCATTGCACAGTAGAGAAATGTTCCCCTGCACCTACATCTGTCACCTCGGGGAGGGGACAAGCGAGGCCAAGGGTGTGGCAGCTCTCAGGCACGGAGGCATCCCTGGCAAGAGTTCTCACCTGGGCTGACGGCTCCGGCCACCATCCCTGCTGGGACTCCGGCTTAGGAGAGAGGCCGGCTTAAGAGCAGCCGGAAGCCAGAGCACAGTGGAGGGCGGGCTTCTCCACATGCCCCCACCTGGAGAGGGTGTGCTTCCACTCACCTCCTGTTGGTTCACGGGTGGAAGCTGCCTGACTTTGATGAGGAATCTTAGCCTTGCTTCAGAGCTCACCCAGAACCTTTGTGGCCCAAAGAGATGGGAGGATGCCCCTCTGGGAACCACCACGGCCCGATAGTGGTAGGTAGGGCGAGGCCAGCCCTCTGAGTCCCTTGGTCTGAACCCTCGGGAGGCCTTGAGCACCCTGCCTCTCTTCTGGGAGAAGGGCGATGAGAGACCCCTCCTGCCTTCCTGCAGGGCATCCTGGGCTTTGGATCCTGGGCTCACCCACAAGAAGAGGAGCCGACAGCACTGGAGACTGGCACTGCAGGCTTGGTGATGGAGGGCAGGCAGGAAGCAGTCTCTCTGTCCGTACTGGCAGGTGGGTACACGCACACACATGCACGTGGCTGTGCACCAGCACTGCCTGTCTCTCCCACGCCAGCCTGTGAGAGGGTCGGTCACCCTTTGAACCGGCTAACAGAATCCTGCCAGCTTTTCCTTAGAAAGATGGTCTGAACCAGTGGTTCTCAACCTGGGGGTTGTGACCCCTTTTGGGGTCAAACGACCCTTTCACAGGTGTCACCTAAGACCATATTTCTGATGGTTTTAGGAACCAAGACACCACTCCTCTATCTGTCTCCAGGCGGGTCTGCCCACATGCAGGCACGCCCACATGCAGGCACGCCCACATACGGGGTCATAACAACATGAGGAACTGTATTAAAGGGTCATGGCTTTAGGAAGGTTGAGGACCGCTGCTCTAGACATTCATCCAAAGACACTTGTGGCCCAGAGCACGGTGCCATTAGGACCAAGGGTGTGGCATGGCACACAACTGGTGCCCATTAAGTGCTGGCACCATGATGCCCACGCCCAAGGAGAAGGGGGCTCTGGGGTGCTGACTTCTCTCTCAGCAGAGGGAGTCTTGATCGAGGCAACAATGGTCCTGTGCTCTCCCGACATGGGAGCCCACAATCCTATCACCTGCAGCTTTTCTCTGGCACATTGGCCATGGGCCGACTCGTGCCAGCTCACCCTGAGGCCTGCCCAACCCAGTCAGCAGCCAAAGCAGTCAAAACATGGGCAGCCAGACCTGGAGGTCTGAAAGTGTCAGGCTAAGGGTAAATGAGACAACACCTGTCTATCTCTGCAGGCATGCGGTGATTGACTGGTAATGTCTGCCACAGGCATAGGGTGTGAGAAAAGTGCCAGACATCAGCTGCTCCTGATCCAGATGGAGTAAATAGCCCTGGAGGTCACATCTTCCTTCCCGTCTTAGCAAGACTGGAAAGCAGCCTCATTGCTGTGGTCCTTGCATTACTATGGCAACTGGGAGGATGAGTGGGCCAGGGCTCTCCCAGGGCTAGAGATGCTAAATTCTCTTCCAGAAAGAAAATGCTTTGAAAACAACGGCAACACGTGCACAAATGTGACTGATACAACTGATGTATGGATTGTGATAAGAGCTGTAAGAGCCCCCAATAAAATGATTTTTTTTTTAAAGAAAATTCTCTTCCAAGGCCCTGGGAGTTCCTGCCTGTGCCCTGTTGTTACCTCTTTCCATCCTGACTCCCTGGGTGTTCCTACAGCCAGCTCCACTCCAGCAGCCACTGGCTCCTGCTCCAGCCTCATCCCTGAGCCTCTCGCCTTAGCCAGCATGAGGTAAAACAAAAATCAACTGCTCTTTGCTCAAGCAAATGTGACTTCGCTGAATCTCTGCTCAGAGGATTAAAAGCAGGATCAAACGGTATGGTTGTTTCTCCCTCCCCTACTCACTACAGAGAGCCTCACATGTAGCTGTGTACAAGAGCTGCTTCCAAGGGGACACTTGGACCCTCCCGGTTCCTGGGCCAGGGTCCCCCTCAGGATTCTCTCAGAGCTGGCTACATGCCTGCCTCCAGAAACACCCCTCCTGCAGACAGGCCTCCTGTGAGGGTGGAGGATCCAGAGAGAGCATCGCTGGCCCCCGCCCAGGTGGCCGAATGCTCCCTGGCACGGACATGCATGCAGGGTTCATCACAGGCTTATGTGCACTACCACACTCTATCTCCCAAAGAGCAGGGCTGGCTGGGCTGAAGTCAGCCTCGCTCTAAGGCCACCTGTCTACTTCCTTCCTGCTTCAGGGGCCAGCACCTCTGCTTCTGAACTCCCAAAAGGCCGAGTGGACTAAGAATGCCAGCGGCATCCACCCCCGATGGGGACGGCAGCACAGACACGACTCCCGGGCAGCAGAGGGGGTGAAAACGAAGCACTCTTACCAAGCCTGCGGGAGACAGAAAGGAGACAAAGGGGTTACGGGTCGCCATGCGGGCCAGGGCACGAGAGCTACACTGCACTCTGCCCATTCACACGCGGGCCCAGCATGCCCCAGCATGGCAAACACAGTCCTGCCCATTTCACAGCTGGGGAGCTGAGGCTCAGAGAGGTCAAGGAAGTCTCCCCAGGTCACAAAGCCGGTGAACAAAGAACGGGGAGAGCAACTGGCCAGGGTCCGGCAGGAAAGGGAGAACCTGCAGGAGAGGATGCAGCTGAGGTGAGGCGTGTGCGTGCGTGCGAGCGTGCGTGCGTGCGTGTGTGATGGTGGGGGGCAGAACTGTAAAGTGCAGCAGAAGGCTGGTCCTCAGGGAGGGCTGGGCCTCATGTCTTGAGCAGTGTCTTTCTGGGGGTGGGGGCTGCCCCCAGGGTGCTGGGGAAGAACAGGGCACTTTGCTTTGTCCCTCAGGGCTGATGGAGGGCAGCGAGGGGGTCTGGGGGGCGATGGCAGGGTTAGTTCTGGTGTCCTTGCAGGGACTGGACTCAGACCCTCGGGGGCCAGAGCCGGTCAACTCTCCACCCAGAGCAGGAGAAGGAGCCAGAAGCCTCCGATGCTTCTCAGGAGAAAATGAGACAGACACACTTGGGTACAGGCCTCACTGACAGGCACACACGTTAGTCTTCACTGTGCTCTTGCAGGGAAGGGGAGGCTGGCAGTCCTCAGGGTGTGTGGGGTGTGTGGGGTGTGTGGAGGGGTGGAGGGGGGCGGGTAGCAGGCACACGGGCCCCAGCTGGAGGGCCTGGTCAGGCAGACCAGTCAGGGAGCCCAGAGTGGCCTTCTCCTCCTGGGTGACACACTCAGAGCAGTCAGCACCCTCCAGAGCCGGCCCACGAAGGACTCAAAATGGCATGAAGGCCCAGACAGACCAGGGCCCAGAGGAGCCTCCGAGAGAGGGGCACCTGGGTCAGAGGAGAAGCCAGGGAAAGCCCACCCACCCTCCCTTCCACCCAGCTGGAAAACCTCCACCCTCTGCAGTATAAGCCAAGGCTGGGGAAAGCCCACCCACCCTCCCGCCCCCCTCCACCCTCCCCACGGGCCTATGTCCAAGGAACAGCTGTGTGATACAGGAAAACAAGTCATCGGAGTGTCCATTGAGAGAGACTCCGAGCAACGATTAAGGGGCGGTAAGCAAGGGGGTAGAGGGAGGGGTCTGAGGCACAGATGCCCATGGAGCTGAGCATCAGGTTGCCTCCTGGGAAGGAAGGTGGCCGACTGGAAAGAAACAAAACCCCCAAACAACCACAACAAAACCGGGGGTGGGGGGGTGGGGGGAAGCAGACTTCTGACCGTGTGCTCTTAGGAAGACTAGCAGACCTGAGCCACAAAGCACTCGCCTTTGATGCCATGTGACGGCCGCCTATTGGAAACAGATTTAAATAATAATAATAGACATATTTCAAACCAATCAACTAAACCAAGAAGCTATTTCATGATGTAGTGAGCAAGTATTCCGGGGCAGCCTGCGATGGCTCCCGGAGAAGCGGGACCCTGTGGAGGCAGAGACCTGTCAGAGGAGACGGGCTGCTTCCCACTGGCAGAGACGGACAGAAAAGCGCTACAATGGCTCACTGCCAGAGCAGAAAACTTGTGGAACCCACAGCAACAAGGAGCCCTAGAATCCCCGCTCTCACAGGTGGCACCGGATCTAACAGTCATTAGCAGCGTTAGCCAAATACCCTAGTTCTCCCCTTCTTGGGACAGGGAGACCTGCGCTCCCTGGCTCTTCCGTGTGAGGGAGGGCAGAAACGGAGGGCCAGACTTCTGAGAGAGCACTTTCAACTCACGACACGAAGCATGCAGAATTCTCTGGGAACACTGGCAGCTCTGTAGGCCTGAGAGCTGAGACAGCATGACCCGCCGGGACAATAACGATCTGTTGCCTTAAGACTGTTACTGTAGCCGAACTTAGCCCATCCTGACTGATACACGGTATCATTTGGCTTTTGATGATCATAAAAAAAAACTTCCTTGGAGAGAGAGGGAGTGCGTGTGTGTACAGGTGTGTGCATGTGTGTGCGCGGGCATGGATAGGAGTGTGTGTATGCGTGGGAATGTATATGTGGGAGTGTGTGCACGAATACGTGAACGACCGTATACGAGTTGAGTGAGAATGTGAGCCTGTGTGTGTGCACATGCATGCATCAGTATGGGCATGTGAGTGGACAGGCAGGGATCTAGAACTTAGCCCCCTCTGTCACACCAGCCTGGGGAGGGGGCTGAGATGGGGCGCCTCTCCCTGCACTCCGCCCTTATTGGCTCATTGAACCTGCCCTTTGGATGCCAAGCCGATGTGACTGCCGTGCTTGGAAGACTGCAGACATGCCTTTGGGTAGTGGGTGGTTTCCACCCTGCGGGCAGGGACCCTCACCTCATCGGGGAGACCTCATCGATGCGGTTCCCCAGCTGGGACTCGTGGGACTTGCTCCGGGTGAGTGTGGGGAAGCTGGGCAGCAGCTGGAAGACCTTGCGGCTGGGCGGGGGCGGGGTCCGTGGTGGCTTCAGCTTGGTGTGCCGGCGCAGCTGGGGTGTGGTTGGGGGCGTGATGAAGCTGTGCAGGGTGCGGGGGGTCAGCCGGCCGCTGGCGTGCAGGGGGATGCAGGTGTCCGAGAGGCCCTCGCTGAGGCCGGGGGCTGGGGAGTCCGCGGTGGGCAGAGTTGACACAGAGATGGAGCGTGGGCCCTGGGCACCGCTGGCCCCTCGGCCCAGCTGGGAACTCCCTGGGGCCCAGGGCAGGCTGGCTGGTGAGAGCGTGTCTGGGGGTGGCCCAGAGCCACTTTCCCGCCGGACATCCATCGGGCTCCAGCGTGAGTCTTCTCGGCGCTCCCCTCCTGTGGGTCAAGCAGTTGGGTCACAGCTGGTTGGTTGGGACTAGAAAGGACTGACAAGTCCAGAGAGGTTAGGCACCTTGCCCACACAGCACAGTTCCTTAGGGGCCAGTAGCCATTACCTGGTCTAGAACGGCCTCTCACACGTTACCTCCTACAGCACATATAGCTTACAAATATATACACATATATATAGCTGTAAGGGCAGCGATTACTGCCCCCTTTTACAGAGGGGAACGCGCAGGCTGGGAGGGAATGTCGTATGCAGGGCTTTCTGGGCAGGTCTCAGAGAAGTGTGCAGGGAGCCCTCCCCAGTCCCTGGAAGTGGGTGACCCCCGACAGGGAAGCTGGGATGTGGGAAGGAAGAGAGGGGCCCCACTTCAAGATAAAGGGGTTCTACCCACTTTCCAAAAGCTGCCTTGTGAAATGAGATCCTGCCACAAAGGGTCAGTCACGTCCTTCTGAGGAAGGAGCCTCGGCGGGACTGGCAACTGCACAGCTTCTCAGAGCCTCCTGATCGCCTAACCCTCGTGACCCTCAACCTCGACCTCCGGCTCCACAGCACAGACTGTCTTGCTCATTTGAGCACCTGCTGGAGGATGGGTGCTCAGGGCTTAAAAAACCAAACCAAACCACCTAATGGAGATGACAGGTACTAGATACCATGTGCTGGAATAGAGTGGTGCCCAGGGGCTGAGGGACATAGGGGGGGGACCCAAAATTAGCCTGGGGTGAATACAGGGGGCGGTCCGGGAAGGCTTCCCGGAGGAAGTGGTATCTGAACGGAGTCTTATGAGATGGAGAGAGAGTGGAAAAGGCGTGTCAGGTAACGGGACTAGACAAGCTCACGCATGATGTAGCTTACAAACTACAGAGTGCCACGTGCCCTGGGAGCTCAGGGCTCGGGAAGGCTGGGAGGCCGAGCTCAGGAAGGGCCGTGGCTGGCTCAGTGAGGACTGCAGATTTGACCCGAGAGACAGGGAAACACAGTAGGCTTAGGTCAGGGAGAGAGGACCCCACCCTACAGCCTACTGATGTCCAAAGGGCTGGCCTGAGGAAGGAGAGGCCAACTCTCTCCTCATGTTGATCAGCGAGTGGCGAGCACTGGGGGGGAAATTTTGACTCGGGGCAAAATGAACTTCCACATGGTATTCTTTCTACTGGGTGCTTCCCAGGATCTGTACTGCCCTCCTCCCCAGGGTACAGGTGCGACCACCACAAACTGAGGTCAGGCAAACTGCCCAAGGCCAGACAGCAGAGTGGGAACAGGACTGGAGCCCCCTCTCTAGGCCACCAGCACCCTCTACGCTGCCAGCACTTTGAATCAGCGACCTGGGAGCCGGCCTGGGACGTAACAAGCTGTCCTCCGAGGAGGGCACCCTGGGGCTACAGAACCATCTCCGGGGCTGGTGGAGAAGGGCCAGCCTCAGCCTGCACAGCCTCTCTGCACCACCTGGGCCTGTGCTGCCTCCTTCACTGCACCGTGATCTTCCATCCATACAGCAACTGGGCCGAACGAGCCGCCCCCTCTCTGTTCCCACGTGGCATGTTCTTGGAGCCCTACTTAAAGCTCCTGTTTCTATACGGGCCTCTAGCTACTTCAAAGAGACCAGCCATTGAAAATGATGGAGTGAAGCTTTGCTCTGACATGGGTGGGAGTGCCACGATTCGAAGCCAATTCGGCAGCAACTGGTTTAGAGGAAGCCCTGGATACATGAAAGACTGGCTTCCCTGGAGCTATAAATAGAGTTGCATTTGGCCCAATCAAAACTGCCAAGGGCCAGTCTGCCATCAGAAAAATGAAAGGAGTCCAAATTCATCATATGGCCTGTTTAATCATCACAGCGTCGAACCAGCAAGGATGTCAAATGGGTCGTGATTTGTAAGCCAGCACTAGTCAACTGGCAGTTATTCCTTGAGAATGATGCTGAGGTCACTGAGCAGGGAAAGAGTGCATGGATTGATTAGTGAGGTCTGTCACAGGCAAAGGCGGGGAAGTAGAGCATCGGCAAGCATGAACTCCTATAGAGACCTGCCCTTCACTGTTCTTAAGATCTGAGACCACAAGTAAAATGACTTCAACATTTTCTATCATCTTCCAGGTCTACTAGTGTAAAAACAAACAAACAAAAACCATTTAATATGCACTATGAGTCAGAATCAACTCGATGGCTGTGAGTTTGTCTTACCCTTTCCTTTATCCATTCATGGACTCTTCACCACCTCCCTAGGAGAGGCACTTTGTGATCCCCATTTCACAGATGAGAAAACTGAGGCTCAATGAGGTTAAGTCACTCAAAGGTCACCCGCCTTCTCTGAGGCCCAAGTCTGGTTCCAGAGTCCATGTTCTGTATGCCAAACAATTCCTGCCAGGGTGCCAGGAGGACTCACTGACCGAATGACCCCAGACAGGGAGGTGATCAATTGTAGCCTGGACTAGGGCACTCTGGGGCTGCAGGGGCACCACAAGTTAGAGCCTAATGAGCATGACAGGATTGGGAGAAGCCCCTGAACGGGGCTCTTTGAGCACACAGGAGAATATGCATGCTCTGAGGGCGAAACCCAAGTTCAAAGCCCAGCTCGGCCATGTGCACCCAGGGTCTCTGATGCTCAGGTGCTTTAGCTACACACTGCTGCTGAAGGGGTTGCTGTACGTGAGTGTGTGCACGCATGCGCATGTCTACACACGCGTGCCAAGTGGCTTCCCCAATGCCTGGAACACAGCATGTGCTTATTAATCAAGGCTCTCCCTACCTGGCAGGTAGCCAGGTCCGGCACTGCAGAAACTGTCATCGTCAAACAAACGCTCATCACCGCTCACCAGCCGGCTCCTCCAGTCTTAAAAGCCAGGCAGCACAGGGAGGGCTGACAAGGTACCCAGAGGTCCCCGCTCGAAGTCAAGCCCTTTCACCTTCCACAAGCTGGACACAGCCCTACTACTGTGGAGGACTGAGGCTGGATTCTTGGCTCTGCCGCTGGCTGGCTGTGTGCCTTGGCCAAAGCTTGTCCCCTCTCTGGCCTCAGTCTCCTCCTCTGTAAAGTGGAAGGAGGGCGCTGACCACGCCTGGTTCGTGCGGATCCCCCAGCCCAACAGGAAGCCTGGTGTGCTGAGGCTTGCTGATGTCACTCGGGGTTCACAGAGAGACTTGGTACGGTGGGGGCCGGGGAAGAAACGAAACCCAATCCTCTAAAGGGGGTGGGGGAGGGGGGGCCTACAGCTGACTAAACCTCAGAGCCTTCCTTAAGCCTCAGGTAGGCGGAGATAAGATGGGTGGCTCAGGTACTTAAAAGCCAGGGCTAATTCTATTCATTAGGTTCATTTTAATGCCTTTTTTCTGTGTGGCAGGCAGGGAATTTGAAGCCATTTCGGAGGCGAGATTTAGAAAGCCTGCAAGCAATTCCCAAGGAACTCCGCATCATGCCAGGATTATGCATTTGGCCGGAGACAGTCACACACGTAAGCCCGGCTGAAAAGCAGCACCATCTCTCTAATCGAGGCTGGCTCAGGCTCAGGCTCAGCCGCAATCAGCTCCTGCTTTCTGAACACACAGCCCAGCCAGCTGCGGGCCGGGCTGTGGGGAGAAGGCTGGGGTGGGCCCAGGGGGCTGGAATTCAAGACGCTGGTGGAAGCTCTGTAGAGCCCAGCCCAACATATGGGCTCCACTAGGGGTCCGCCCAGCAGCCTGGCCTGGAATTCCTAGCCCCAACACAGGAATGCTGCCCTGGGTTTGTACTGCCAGACCAGATGGAGCCCGGACCCTGAGGACCCTCTTAGGCCAGCTCCATCACCCTCCTTCTGAATGTCTGCTCTGGCCTGTCTCAGCTGCCCCAGAAGCTGCCCACACTCACCCCATCTCATGGGCTCTCCTCAGCAGAGACCCCAGCACCCAGGAAAGCAGGCCAAGCCTGGGGAAACCGAGCTGAGGGGGCCTGGCCTGGCCCTACCTACCCAGGCCTGTCACTTTCCGCAGGCAGGTGAGGGCTTGCTGCAGGCGGCCGCATTCCTCGCTGCTGGCCCCGCAGCGCCTCAGCGTCTCCTTCACCTTGGCCTCGTCCATGTCCAGCAGGGCGTCCAGCGTGAGCTCGCTGGGGATCTCCTGAGGAAGCACAGAAGGAGAGGCAGGGAGACCGTGAGTGGGCAGGCAGGCTGGCTGGCTGGCCCCTCAGCCTGCCGGGCCTCCCTGCTGAGTGGCAGGGCCAGCTGCTGGCTGCCCTGGCCTCCTCCAGCTGACCGACCGACCGACTGACAGGGAGCCACCACTTGTGAAGAGGACTGGCAGCGAGCTCCGGCCCCACCCTGGCCCTCCCTGAGACAGCAGCTGAAGCCTGGGTGCCAGGACCTCGGGGCTGGGGGCTGGGAAGGAGGGAAACAGGCCGGGGTTGAGAAAGGCGTGCTGCCCCTTTGTTCCCTCTGCATGGAAGCTTTTTTGAGTAAGACAAGGACTTCTGAGCAGCGTCCCCCTTGGCAGGTTCCCGGTGCCCGAATCACATCACAGACACTTCAAATAAATGAACCTTCACCAAGCACCGGGTGGGTACTTAGCACCTCAGCGGACTTCATTCTGTCAAAACCTTTCATTGGGCTCACTTGCTGGCGCCAGAGAGTGGCTGGGGAGGTAAAGTGACCTGTGTGAGCACCGTCAGGAAAGGGGAGAGGGGTGGTGGGCAGAATGTCCGCTGGGTCTCCCATGCCGCTATCCCTGTGATTGCCACAAGGGATGGCAAAGTAAAATGGCCCAGGGCAGGTCCAAGGTGACCGCAGGATCGCTTTACTTATTTTTTAAATTATTTTATTGGGGGCTTGTACAACGCTTATCACAGTCCATACATATATCCATTGTGTCAAGCACATTTGTACATTTGTTGTCATCATTTTCAAAATATTTTCTTTCTACTTGAGCCCTTGGTATCAGCTCCTCGTTTTTTCCCCTCCCTCCCCACCCCTCTCCCTCATGAACCCTTGATAATTTATAAATTATTTTTTTCCATGTCTTACACTGTCTGAGATCTCCCTTCACCCACTTTTCTGTTGTCCATCCCCCAGGGAGGGGATTATATGTAGATCTTTATGATCTGTTTCCCTTTCTCCCCCACCTTCCCCTTCCCCTCCTGGTAGCTCTACTCTCATTATTGCTCCTGAGGGGTTTATCTGTCCTGGATTGTGAGTTCTTATCTGTATTGTGAGCTCTTATCTGTACCAGTGTACATGCTCTGGTCTAGCAGGATTTGATAGGTAGACTTGGGATCATGATAGTAGGAGGGGTGGGGCATTAAAGAACTAGAGGAAAGTTGTATGTTTCATCGTTGCTACACTGCATCCTAACTGGCTCATCTTCTACCCTGGACCCTTGTGTAAGTGGATGTCCAGTTGCCTACAGATGAGCTTTGGGTCTCTACTCTGCACTCCCCGTCATTCACAATGATATGATTTTTTTCTTTGATGTCTGAAAGCTGATCCTATTGACACCTCGTGATCACACAGGCTGGTGTGGTTCTGCCATGTGGGCTCTGTTTACCTTCAAAGCCTTTAAGGCCCCAGATGCTATATCCTTTGATAGCTGGGCACCATCAGCTTTCTTCACATTTGCTTATGCACCCGCTTTGTCTTCAGCGATCACGTCGGGAAGGTGAGCATCATGGAATTCCAGTTTAATAGAACAAAGTGTTCTTGCATTGAGGGAGTACTTGAGTAGAGGCCCAATGTCCATCTGCTACCTTAATACTAAACCTATAAATATATGCACATAGATCTATTTCCCCATCATCATATATAAATATATTTGATATATTTATGTATGTGCCTGTAGAGCATTTTACAGCAGGCCAGTTTCTCTGGGTGCCAGTGGAGAGGGCAGAGTCCTGTGCTGTTGCTAACTTTGAGGGTGGAGGGGTCACAGGAAGAGGAACACGAGTGGCCTCAGGAGAGTGAGCAGCAAGGAAATGGACTCTGGGATATGGAGTCACAGACCCCTCCCCCTAAAGCACCCCAACTCAGTGCCATCGAGTGGAAGCCGACCCTTTAGAACAGGGTGGAACTGCCTCTGTGGGTTTCCGAGACTGGAGCTTTATAAGAGTAGAAAGCCTCATCTTTCTTCCACGGAGCAGCTGGTGGTTTTGAACTGCGACTGCAGATCACTGCCTACCATGTAACCGCTGTGTTACCAGCACTCCTGTAGAGCTTCTGCCTTCAGCCTGAACAGTTGGGGGCGGGACGCTCCTGCACAGCATGCAGGGCAGAACCCTGCAGTACGGACTTCACTCTCCCATGACCCACTCACCCACTGCCTGGAGTCACCCTCCGACTCATCACGACCCTGTAGGACAGAGTGGAACTCTTCCGGGGATCAGGAAGCCTCATCTTTCTCCTGTGGAGCAGCTGGTGGCTTCAAACTACCGACCCTGTGGTTAGCAGCCCAACACGTAGCCCGGTATAGTATGATGCCAGGGCTCTTGGGAGCGGCAAAATAGAGAATGAGCCTAGATACTTGCCCATCCCCCATTGCCACTGAGTGGATTCCATCTCCTATCGGCCCTATAGGAGCAGAGCAGAACTGACTTTTGGGGTTCCCAAGGCTATAAATCTTTATGGAAGCAGACAGCCTCATCTTTCTCCTGTGGAGCAGTTGGTGGCTTTGAAAGCCTGACCTTGTGGTCAGTAGTCCAATACTTAATCCACAACCCCACTCCAGAGCCTTCCTGCTCCTCCCAGGTGAGTGCTATTTTAACCTTTTAAGTTTGGGGCAATTTGTCGGGCAGCAATAGAGAGCCTGCAGAGAGAATGTTTGAATTAAGGCCGGACTGGGCTCACACCACATGCTCCTTCCTCCCGATAAGGCGGCAGGACCCCCAGCCAGGTGTGGCCCCCAGAGTGGCACAAGAGGGACATGCCCCTGGCCTAGGCCAGCTTGCTGTCAGGCCGGGGTGACTGCCATGAAAAACAAGTCACTACACTGCAGTGAGAGGAAAGTCTGTGAACTAAGGCTGGTGGTGAAACCAGCCTGGTTTTGTTCTCCTCAGCCCCTCCCTGCTCTCCTCTAAACTTTCCGCACTTTCTATTGACAGGCAGCCAGGCATCTCACATCAAATGATTCATACAAAGCCCACAGTTTTTGAGAATCTAAGTTGATTTTCAATTCAATGGTTTTATAAAGTTGAGTCTCATTTCTTTTGAAAAGGGTAATTATATTGTCAGTCAATTCAGGCTGCTGTACATCTTTGTCGAGTCAGATGTCAAAACTAAACGTGATGAGGTTGCTGGCATGGAGGGGGGGCTTTGCAGTGGAGCCTCTGAGGCTGGATTGGAGGCCTGGCCCTGGCAGCCCTGGAGTCACCGCACTGGCCAGACGGTGGTGGT